TAGAAAATTACGCAATAAAACATTGTGAAAATATGTGGTAAATTACAATTGGAAATAGAGACAGTATGAAAATAAGATTATCATTTTAAAAATTAAAAAAAAGGAATGAAAGTAATTTTAAATACTACACCACAAAATTAAAAAGAGCTATCCTAACGATTTTGTTAATAAAAAATTAGAGTGATTTCTATTATTTCTGGCTCTTATGTTTTTGAGTGATTTTGAATGATTTCTTATCTTAGTACTTAAGATAAATTTTAATAGTTAATGATTTTAATGATTTATAGCGATTTTCAAGATTTCTGATTTAAATTATATCGAGTGATTTTAATTATTTTTGGTTTTCAGTATATAAATTATTTTAATTATTTACAATTTTAATTATTCTGAGAGATTTTATTTATTTCTGATTTTAATAATTTAGAGTAATTTCAATGATTTTGGTTCTTAATAATTTAGAGAAATTTTAAAAATTGATCGAAAGAATTGTCTGTTATTTTAAAGTTATTTAATCCAATAGTCCTATAGTATCATAACTTGTTGCGCCTAATAATAATATTGTACTATAATTAAATAGCCAAGAATTGTAATTGATTAAATTGAATTCATTTCGAGATAAATTTTAAATTAGGGATGAACAGGGTAACTGCCAATTACTCGGCAATCTAATTATCTGGACGCAGCAAAATAATTTTACAACCTGGTACCGAGTACCCAGACCCGGGTTTTAGTCTAGTCTCAAGATCCGGTGAATAATATCGGGTATCTATTGCCGGGAAATACTCGTTTAGGTTCAACACAATCATATTCGGATTCATAGTAACCTTAATACTATTCATAAGTACAATTTCATAATTTTATAACCGTTGTTGAACAGCCGACCCAATTTTATGGGTTTACAACTATTAATGTTCAACTCCGTAGCCTTGTAATTTTGAACCCAATCCAGAAGACAAGGGAACTCCTGGATCAAGTATTGGGATAAGTTTGCTTTCGTTGAGAACTTGTTGATGGAGCTAACCCGCATTTGCGTAACATTAAGAGGAAGACCACGAATCTCAAATGGTGAACCTGACGGCAATGGGACTCTAACCCATGATCCGTCTACCACTGAGGATATTTCACGTCAGAAATGTGGTCGGTGCAAGGCGGATACGGAACTCGTATCGTCTGGGATTCGAACCCGGTTGGCCGCATTGGAAGGCTAACGCTCTATCCCCCTATCGCGGCTCTCATAAAAACAATTGTAGTTTTAGAAATCCACGTATTCCATCTGTTTTTTAATAATCAAGCTGAAATAAATAACTTAAATTCGACAGATTTTGCTTTTGGCCATAATTTTATTTCAGGGAAACATTAGTAAAGTGGGCAAAGAAATATGTCCGCCAAAGATAGGGGTACATTTATGAAAAAGGTAATCAAAAGCAAAAGTCTTAAACGGAAAACTATTGAAGCTAAATAAATATGATAATTAAATTAATACAAAATTAGAAATAAAAAATTAAATTGGTATTTATTTAAATTAATAAAATCATAATGAGCAGAATTCAAATATTAGCGTAGAAAGTTGTGTTAAAAATTTGCTTTCCGAAAATGAGTAAAAGCATTATTATTTAGGTTTGTAAGCTTAGTATTTTATAGAAATATCCACCTTTATAGAAATATTTTCTAGTTTAGTTGCAAACAAAATATAAATATTTTCTAACAAATAACACATTAATTATTCTAATTCTATAACTAATTTACACACCATTAAAAATTTACTTTCTAGTAAAAGCAATTAAAATTGAACTATTTGCAATAACAAATTTAAAATAATAACATTAATTTTTTTGAAAGTAGTTTTTATTTTTAAAAAACTGGGTTTAGATACCGCAACAAAAAACTCATTTGGAAACATTTTATTAGATTTTCAGCATTACGTTTATACTGAAAATAAGTATGTATAAAAAATACTGCCATAAATTATCTTAAACCACATTTTTGATAGAAAGCTCTATAAATCGTCACTTCAATTAATTTAACTTCCAATCGGTGTGGTATAAGTTCCCTGATCATCGGGGTAACCACGAGCGTTTTTCATAAGTGTTTCTTCATGTGACACAAATACGCGTTTGTGTCACAGTAGAAATTTTTCTTGGAAGCAAATTTGCTTTTAGTAACAGAGTTACTTTACCTTTTGGTGTTTAAAATTATTAGGATATGGAGATATAACCGTAACTTTGAGGACAGTAAAATCGCTCTATAAATTTTTTAAATTTTTTTTTATAAATTCGAAATGGAAGTTATATTTAAATTCCCTCCCAATTTTAGACACTCTATTTATACTTTAATCAATCTAATTATTTTTCATTTATTTTCTTAGAGCTTATAGAAGAATAAAAAAAAGGTCCTTTTCTTGGATATTTGCTTTACGAAACGCAAAACTAGTTTTTTTTTTAGTTTCAAAATGAAGAATTAGAAATAGAGTAAAAAGATATTGGTTTAATAAACCAATGTATTTTTATTAAGTAATATTTGCAAGTTCTTCCAATTACTTCCTATTTACATTACTTCCATTGGGCTCCTATTTACATTAGACATTTTAAATTTCTTTTCAATTCAAAATAATTTACTATAAATTATTTTTAAATTTAGCTTATAAATATCTAATTTTTAACATTAATGTGTGTGAAAATCTTTAAAATATTTTCGCCGCTAAAATGTTTTATTTTGTAATGAACAAAAAAGTTTATTTAAGTACATACGAAAATGGTAAGTATCAACTGTTGTATTATCTTCACAAACTTCACATAAATCACTTTCTTTTGCCGACTAAAGCAGGATAAAATCTTTTACAGAGGTTTCATTCATATTTTTACAAGAATGAGATAAATGTAAATGCACATTATTCAAAAAAAGTTTTTATTCCTGTAAATACATAAATTAAATTTTTTTGCTTAATAACGCAAGTTTATTCCAAACCATGCATAAAAAAACGTTTTTAATTAAAAAAAATGTATGAAAGATGATTTATTTTTTCTTTCGTTTAAGTCTAGATCAGTGGTTAGCAACTGGCGGCCCGCGGGCCGCACTCGGTCAGCAAAGCCTATTTTTGTGGTTCGCTAACCAAAATATATTAGTTTTCATTTTTTTGTGGACAATTTTCGTAGAAAATCTATATGGGTTTTAAATACTTTCAAGCTTTATATCTTAACAATTTGATATCTGTTGCACATTAATTTTTTAATACATAGGTGCACATTGAAGTAATTGTAGGCAGAATTTTTAAATATGCAATTAAATATTTTTAAAAATCTACATCTTATTTTAATTTGTAATGCAATACTTTTGCTTTGTACAACTTGATAAAAATCTGACAGTAATATTCAATGCTCCTTCAAACATAAAAGAGTCCTATATAAAATTTTGATAAAGTTGCGGCCCGCCATTTGACTGGCGCTTTTAATTTCCGGCCCCCTGTCTCATGTAAATTAGAAACCCCTGGTCTAGATCATGTAATGGTTATTGAATCTACTTTTTCTTTTAATAAAAAATGAACACTTTTTGCCGTAGTTGATGCTTTTTTAAACTTCTGTTAGTTTAAATTAATATGGAAAAAGTATATGGTCATATATACCAATTTCCGTCGTAGTTTTAATTAAAAAAACATTTATAGATGATTGTTTACACATTAAGCAAGTACAAAAAAGCAATAATATTTATTATGTAAACAATAACTTAAATCCCAACCGATTTTAAACAGACGGAACAGGAAGATTTTTCGCAAAAACAAACAAAACCTCATTCGTTATTTAAACTAAAGAGATTAAATTTCATGGTCGGTTTAATGTTCTCCTTGGACAAGCTTGTTGATTCTCGGATTCACGTGCTATCGTCTGATACCTAGTTTTGAATGTTAATTGCTTGATTAAGATTCTTACCCACTTTCAGCTTGCTTCATATTAAAAAGTAGAGTGTATAAAATAACAGTCAATGAAGCAAAAGTCCCAGTAGTTAAAAAAAAAATATATTTGGAACCAAATTCGGAAAAACGTAAATTTTATAAAACAATAAAAAATACCAACAAAATTTTTTTAAAGCTAATATTAGTTTTTAATATTTTTATATGAATATTATTAGTACATAATTATTATTATATAAATATTTTTACCGTTTTAGGTTTGAAGCCTACCGACATTGAGATTGGATATGAAAAATACATTAGATAAAAAACTATAAAGCAAATTTTAAAAAAAAGAAAAAAAACAGTGCTCTGTTTAACCTATTCTTAAAGTTTGTCAACATACTTTCGAATTATATCTTATAGAATAACAACAAACTGCGCAGAATTGAATGTTTTATTTATGAATTTATTTAATAATTCTTAATATATAACATATTATTATATATATAGTTTTATAAATATATATCTAAATATATCATAATTATTATTATATAAACATTTTTACCGTTTTAGGTTTGAAGCCTATCCACATTGAGATTGGATATGAAAAATACATTAGATAAAATGCTATAAAGCAAATTGGAAAAAAAAACAGTGCTCTGTTTAAGCTATTCTAAAAGTTTGTCAACATACTTTCGAATTATATCTTACAGATTAACAACAAACTGCACAGAATTGATTGTTTCTTTTATAATTTAATTAATATTTTTTATAAGTAAATCTCATCGAAAATTGGTATTTATTTTGAAAACAAATATATATCTCAATATTTTCTCATTTTCATAATCTATAGTTCCTTAGATGCTTGAAATTAACAAAATTCCAAAACTTACGAAATTATATTTTCCTGAAGTAGCTGAAAAATCATTGGAGCAGGTAAAAACTTACAGAAAGAAAAAAAGTATATTATTTTTTCAAAAAAGTTTATTCTATCGATGGTTCAGTTGGTATTTAAGTTGAAGCTTGGGGAATAATGGTTGCTGTCATCATATTTGGAAGAAAAAAAAGATAATTATATACTAAAATAATTACAAAAATAATTTGAACTACTCACCTAAATCTGTCTCTTCCACTTGTCAGCGTCAACTGGCTCTGTGTAACAGTAACAGCCATTTAACGAGAATTTAAAATAAATAAATAAAAATAGAAATGTTCTAAAACGTAACTACAACATCGATGAAAAAAACATGTGAAAAAAAAGTGAAAGCGAAAAGTTCGCGAAGTATGAAATCGTCTGAGGATAATTATTTTAAAAAATTGCTTGCACTTTTCTTTATCATTCCAAGTTGTTAGCAGTGAAAACACTTTCCCTTTTTCATGAAGATGGAGATACTGAGTGTTGGAGAAAGTGATCGTTTGTGTTTATCCTCATTTTCCGCGCTGCTTCGCTCCGCCTCCGGCTATAAGTGATTGGAGGAATGCATCTTCTTCCAAATAGTGCATGCGTGCTTGTTTTCGAAATGGTAAAAGTTTTTATGAAGTTTTCTTATTTTATGTGCAGATTTTTCTTGAAATTTACTTAGAAATATATTTTTGATCCAAACAAAAAAGTTACGTAATGCTATGTGATCAAAATACAAAGCCTTGACAAATGAATTTTCGTAGAAATAATAAGACTTTTCTTCATACAAAATATTTAATGTTATTGTTAAGGAAGCATAAACAAGATTCTTTCTCGTTTGTAAATATTTTTCGTTTTACTTTACCTCACTTTTCATAAGATTGAATTAAAAAAAAATTATTATTTTAAATATTAAAGATAGAATATATAGTTAATAAAGATGACCATTAAACACATAATTATTTTTTCATGAATATTTATTAATAATTATGTGTTTATTTGTTATTATTTTATTTTAAATATAGCTAAAAGAAATCGAGAAGATTTTTATATTCCAAAATCTATTTCTTATATTTTCCAAAAATATATTATTATAAGCGTAACAGTTCATTGAGAGATTTGCAAATAGTAGCAAATTAATTACCCCAGTTGTCACCAACACGAAGAGTTGGTATATATATAAGATAATATCTAAGATTATCTTATATATATACCAACATAATCATAAATAGTTTTAAAATAATGATCATAAATAGTTTTAGAAGATATTATCTTAGATAAGATAATATCTAAGATAATATCTTCTAAAACTATTTATGATCAATTTTTTAAAATTATCCAGTATAATATTACCTTGCGCACATCCATTTCGGGCCCATCCTTGGTAACTAACAAATCAAAACTCAGAATAACAAATCACTTCAGCAGTGCAGTAAGAACGACACTTTAAAACCCTCTTGTTACACTCAATTTGCGCCTTTGTTTTCATCTTTTGTTTTCATATTTTGTAATCTGGCAATCTTTCTGCGAAAACGTTTTTAAATCATTCTTGAAAAATTTTCTGTCCTTGTAAGTAGATCTCATTTTGCTACTCGCTTTATAGTCCCTTTTAAATGTTTTTTATTTTATTTTNAATTTTTATTTATTTTTATTAATTTGTTTAACGTAAACTAAGAAATAAAAACAAGAACTTTCCATCCGTTATAATAATTTGCTGTTCCATTATATCCATTTAGTTTTATGTTTATTTAAATAATTTTAAAAAGTAAGAGTAGTTATGATATGCATTTTAAGGATATTTCGCGGCATAACGATAATTATGATTATGTATTTTTTTAATAGACGCGCGACGCTACTCCACCGCCATGGTATAGCCGCATGTGCCTACTGGGTAAAAATAAGAGAGTAGCAATTCTGGCAATGGAAAATAGACCCAAGTGCCCGCCATTAAAAAAAAAAAACTTTTTTAATGGAAATAAATAACTCAAAAATCTGCTAATGTTATCATGTCATATCTCTTGTAAACCCTGTCACCATTTTATGACCCTGCCGTCCAAGTGTGACATTATTTGTGGGCAGCCCATAATTATATTTTAACAGACCTTTGACTATTAAATCTAAAAATATCTTCTTTAAAGAAATTGCACTTTTTAAAAGAAAATCACGATTTGTGCTAAATTAGTCTACCTATATATATATATATATATATATATAAATAACATACCTTGGGACACAGTACACCTTATGACATTTTTATTTTTGGTCTTAAATTTTAAATTTTAAATTATCTTTTAGTTCTTTTATATGTCGGCATCACCTAACCTTGGAACATATTTTGATTCTATTGATTAGGCAGGTAAGAATTTACTAGAATTTTTATTTTTTGAAGCATGTTTATTCACTTTTATATAAAAGTTTAATTAGTTCTAGAAAGAAATTAAAATTTTTTTTAATAATGGGTAATATAATGAAGTATAAAGTTTTGCCTTTAGAAGTTATTGAATTTAATTGTTCCAATGCTAAGCCTAAAAGTATGATATTTTAAAATATCCTATTAAGTATATAGTGCACCTTGGGACAGATGGAGGTGGCCCACCTTGTGACACTAGATGTGCATAATTAATCCTTATTGAAAATAGATTTTTAGCAAAAATATATTGTGCGTGCAAAGTATTTTTTAATTTATATAATCTGTGTCTATTAAAAGTTATTATTTTTTGTTTTAGGAACTCATTAGACTTAACTAATCACAAGAATCAAAAAGTATAAAAATAATGCAGTAATTTGTGTTAACAATGTTGAAAAAGCAGCTGCAAATTTTATAAGGGGAAATGATTTGTAAGAAAGCTGCTGAATTCTACAGTATTGGTAAGATCACTCAGAACTGCAATTTTATTTCCGTTAAAAAAACTAAAATTCTAACTTTAAACATATTTAAATATGCAGAGTTGCAAAATATTGAGGAAGAAATAAAATTGCTTCACTGTATGTTATAAGCCTCAAAGTACCATCAATTATTAACAATATGTGATGCACGTGCACTTACATATGAGTGTGCTTCGCCAAACCAAATGAACATTCCTCCAAACTGGGAGAATGCAAAAAAAATCTGGGAAGATGAGGATTTAATGCTCTCTGAATTAGTAAGAAATACATCCAGAAGAAAACCAGTAATTAGTGATTTACGCAATGATGACAGCGATGATGATGCCTGCAGCTTAAATGAAATGAACAGTGAAAGTGACAACAAAATATTTGACGATAAGAAAAAAATACATCTAGAAAAAAGTAGTGAAACAAGATTACATATTGGAGATTTTCCTCATATCAAATTTGCTGGTAAAAGATCTGATGTTGCCATTGTAGGTTGCGTTGAAAGAGTTGATGGAGATGAGTAAGAGTAATCAGTTTTGAGAAGAGTGAATCAATCTGCAACATTTATTTATTCCGAAAAAGAAGACATTTCATGCATAGATTCAAATGACATTTCATTAAAACTTAAGCAGAGCAAAGCTTTGAACGTTCTTTAGGTTTGGTATTTCATTCTGAACAACAGGATTTGAATACAAGAAGTTGAAACTAACAAAATAAAACTTTATTAACTAAATCAAAAAATTTAAATTTATTTAGTTATACTACTTTTAGAAAATTTCTACTTAACTTTTCAAATCTTTTTAACTTTCCCAAGGTGCCCAACTAGGAAGTACACCTTGGGACAAATAACAAGGTAACTAAACATTTTTTTAAAATTTTTTTCTATTTTTATGACAGATACAAAATCAAAACCTAGTTAAAAAAGTTTTCAAATGTTACAAGAATACCAGCTAAAATTTTAACAATAATTGATCAGAATAAAAAAATTTAAAAAAGTGAAAAGCGAATTAAAAAAGTGTCCCAAGGTGAGTCACTCTCCCCTATATATACGAAGAGTTGGTATATATA